TCCCCCCATTTTGTCTCTCATAGTTGAGGTATACCTATGATGAAAATTACAGGCCTCTCTCATCTTTTTAAGTGGGAGAACTTGCACAATTGGTGGCTGACTAAATACTTTTTTGCCCCACTGTAAGTGGAATTGTTTGTAGAAGTCAAGTCCTCAAGCCAAGCTCAATTCCTGGTGACAACCTGAGCTAAATTGCTAAAGCTCGTGATTTGCAATCAGAGGCCACCGGAAGCTGGATTAAATTGATGCATCTGATTCCAGAACAACTCTGGGTGGCTTCAGAATGAAAAATAGGTAAAAATGATATCAAATTAAAAAGAATCACCCCAAGGTTTAGCCTATTTCATATGCAGGATATACAGGTAGTCCTCGCTTAATGACCCTAATTGGGACTGGAATTTCCATTGCTAAACAAAGTGGTCATTAGGCAAAACATCACATGACCATGCTGCTTAGCGATGTCAGTTCCGGTAGTCCCAGTTGCAGTCATTAGGCGAGGAGCACGCCATTGGTAGGCAAGGACCTCACACTTCTCCTGCCCTGCACAAACTGCTGGCTCCATCCGCTGCCTCCTCCCAGCCGGGCCCAGCAAGCTCCCTTCTGCAGACAGGGCACCACCACCCTGCCACACTCGCCTCTGCTTCAACTCCTCCCACCCACCTATCTCCCCCCATCTCTGCCCTTTTGGCCACCCTGCACTGCGCCACCACCAATCCCTGCTACACCCCACTGCCCCTAGCTGAATGCTGTCTTCTGCTGCTGCTGGCCCAGAATGCAGGCGCTGGGCGAGGATACACCAAAGGGAGCTCACCAGGCCCAGCTGTGGAGGAGGCAGTGGGATGGAGCCAGGGAGGAGGCAGGTGCTGGTGTGGGCGGCAGCTCCCCAAGTGGCTGTTGGCGCTTCAGCACCAACAGCCGCCACCTTCACCCAGGGAGCCACCACCTGCACCACCACCCTTTGGGCAGCCAAAAAAGAGATGGGGGGAGATAGAGAGGTGGGTGAGTTGAAGCGCATGTGTGGCCAAAAATGCAGAACGCTTGCCAAGTGCCCAAATTTTGATCATATAACCACAGGTGCACTGCAATGGCCATAACGTCAAGGACTGGTCATAACTACCATTTGTTCAGCGCCATTTTAACTTTGAACAGTTGCTGAACCAATGGTTGTT